CAGTGTTGCTAATAATTTAGACCTATAATGATACGTTAATTTGGTTTGGTGGATACAGGCAAAACTATTACGTGCTTTACAACATTCCGATAAGCGCAAGCTTGACATTCCTCCTTATTGGAACCTTTTTGTTTATGAGACACTACAAGATTCCTTTAGCTTGTCATGATACATCACATCTGATCGAGATATTATTATGTTTCTGTGTTGGAACATTCATACTTGGTGTAACTTTATGGGTCTACATCTTCATCAACAAGAAGCCCGAATATAGTTACGAACGCTTTATCATGCTTCCTAGTTATGGTTTTGCCGTTGTTTTACTCTTCATCCTCTTCTATTCGATCTCTCCCCTTTATGCTGGTGTCGCTTTAGGTATACCTTTGCTAGTGATTCTATCACTTTCGATTTACTCTTTCTACCGTAGCAGGAAAGAATAAGAATACCCCTGGCCTATATAAGTTTTTATCATATCTATAGTACTTCTTTTTTTTAAATATAATTTAGGTCTGATGACTCTCATCTTTTTCGATTGTTTTGGTTGTTTTTTTTTTTTTATATGTAAACTAAATGCGATTATTTATATTTGGTTTTCAGCAAGTTTTTATGATTCAATCCTATATATAAAACTTGTGTTCTTCTCACAAAGGATTGCCACATAAGCACCCCTCTCCATGACACATCATATTTAGTTTTTTTTTTAATTTAAAAAATCGTTATCTGATTATATTCACGTTTGACTTACTTATGATCCCAAGTCCCAACACTAATAAATTAAATACTCATGCTAAAACCAAAGTGACCATGAAAAAAGTTTAATACTATTTGAGCATATATTTATTTGTTTTGACGCAAAAGCTTTAAAGTTTAGTAAACACCAAAACATTTGTGGCCTCTTCATCTTCAATGTTTAATAAATTAACAGTTTGTCGTAGTCATATTGCATCAATTTCTTACATTTGTCTTCTGGATCCCAACTTTAGATCTTTTTCGAATTTAACCGTACCTAACTATCTATCCAACGCTTCAAAAGGCGATATGGGCTATATGTAGACGAAGTGGACGAGGAAGTGGGAAGTAAAGTCAGAGGGAAAGTCTCTCGCCATATGGATTAGTATGGTGACTATCTCTTTTCATATGTGGGTTTTTAATTAGTTTTAAATACAATGAAATATTATTATGTTTCGTGAATTTGTTTTGGAAATCTTGATCGACTTTGCTTTGCAGTTTAAGCCTAATAATGTAAGTGTGTTAGTTTGAAATTGGAAAACTTGGATTCTTTGGCTGATGTTTTGAGTTTCTCACTCATGGTTACATGTGAAGTGTCTGATAGTGAATATGTGGCATGTGTCGATGAATTTGTTTTTTATTCTTCTTATTTTTATAGGGGATCTAAACTTTCTTTTACTTAAATCTGAAACAATTAAAACTCTAAAAAGAATGTAGATAAATCTTTTATAACTGACATGCCTCCATAGCTCATTCACAAAGTTGATTTAAGATGTAGCAGTAGTACATGTGATTAAGATGGAAATATAGCTGACTTTCGAGAATCACAGTGAGTGTTGTAAAATATACTTAGCTTCTTAAGATGTTATTTTATTTCCCACAAACTTAAACCACAACTAATTAATTTTGTTTAAAATTGAACCAAATATACACATTTACACACAAATATAATAGCACGACGACACACATATAATTTAAATTATAAAAAACCCCGTGCGTATGCACGAGTAAATTTTCTAGTATAATCAAATATCTGGTTTCTCCATTCAGAAATCTAAAACAAATCTAAAAATAAAATATCTCTTCTTTCTTAAGACGTTGCAATCAATTAGAAAGATCTGTTCATTGTTTATCTTAATTATATATGTTGGCAACAAAATAAGATGATGTTAAGATGCCTACAGTACACAACCGATTCAAATTTTGTTTTTTTTTTAATTACCAAGAAAGCTTAAAACATGAAAAATATTATAAAGAGTTTTGTTTGCTTAAACTCTTTATAATATTTTTCATGTTTTAAGCTGGGATTTTAAATATATGAACGACCACTGATGGGTGATAAACTGGGCTTGGGCCTCTGAAAGCCCAGTTTATTATAAAGAGTTTCGTACTCGAATTGTATTTTGGGATTTGTGTTGTTGTTTCATTTCTTCATCTGAATCCCTAGAACAACACTTGTGTTAGCAGAATCTAAATCAGAATCGGATCCAGTGATCAGAGTTGGTCAATTCGATCTCGAGGAAAGATGACGGAGGCGATGGTAAGGAAGAAGCCAGGAATGGTGAGTGTGAAGGATATGCCTCTGCTTCAGGATGGTCCGCCACCGGGTGGGTTCCCGCCGGTACGATATGCTCGCCGGATATCCAACACGGGTCCTAGCGCCATGGCTATGTTCCTTGCGATGTCTGGTGCCTTTGCTTGGGGAATGTACCAGGTCGGACAGGGAAACAAAATCCGCAGGTGATATCGCTCGCTCACATTTCATCTTTTTGTTCCCTGAAATTCTAGTTCGCATTCGCTAAACTTGCTAGTATTTTTGGAGTCATCCATGTGAGTGGTGATGGATTTCGGATGAAAAGGTGCGATTTTAGAGGTTATATATAGCTCAGAAGCTTTCAATTTGGTGTATTTTTGGTGTTAAATTGGGTAGTTTTCTCTTCTTATTGTTATCTTTAGATTTCTCCTTTCACTTTAGAGTGATGACCAGAATCAAAAAAGACAATTTTGGAAATGAAAATTTCAAACTTGAGCAAGTATAATTTAGGCTGGTGTTAAGAGTTTATTGGAGATCAAAGTTGAATATATATGTACTTTTGGTTTTTAAGCTCGTTACGTTTTTCTTGCCTTCGATTTAACTATTTCGGTTGTTCTGTTAATTTTTCGATTTAGTCTTTTCAGGCATTTTGGTTGAACCTTAATCAACATGAATTTAGACTTTAAGATGTTTTTTTTTTTTTTTCTATAATGAATAGAGAGTTCATCAGCTTAAGCCACAATTGCTAGGATGTGAATCTTTTATGAAGAAAGTAATCATCTAGATGCAAGTTATGATAGTAGTAATCGGGATACTGATTCTCATCGTTAGATTGTTAGTCATTAGTAGTAGTACATACTTCTGTCATCTAGCTTTGATCACAGTCTTCTTGTGCATGTACAATGTTGATTTGCAATGGTTTTCTACCAAACAAGAAAAAACTCGGTTTCATATTTCTTGTCTTGGGCATCCTTAACTATTCATCGGGAACTTACAGTTACATCATGATGCTAACAAGTAAAAAGTATTAAGTACAGGTTTAATTCATTATCAATATTTATCAAGTTTCAAAGTTCTTATTAAGATTGATGTGATGTGCAGGGCGTTGAAGGAAGAGAAATATGCTGCTCGTCGAGCAATACTTCCCATTCTTCAAGCAGAAGAAGATGAAAGGTAAATAATACTATTAAATAAGTCTCTGTTTCTGCAACCTTTAGACAGTAGTAATCTTGTTTTGACCCCGCCTCGCATTCTTTGTGTTAATAGGTTTGTGTCTGAGTGGAAAAAGTATCTGGAATACGAGGCTGATGTAATGAAGGATGTTCCGGGATGGAAAGTTGGCGAGAACGTGTACAATTCTGGCCGTTGGATGCCACCAGCGACTGGGGAACTCCGTCCTGATGTCTGGTGATTTATTAGCTTCTCTCGAATGCATT